CCTTTTCAAGCCACAGTTCAAGATTTGTTTCTTGGGCAATCAGCACTCACACAGCCAAGTTGGTATACGATACTCCTCACGTCAGAACAAACTTCCCACAGTGGATGGAACACAGCCCCGAACAACTCGCCTCCTCAGAGCAGCAGGACTCCCAGGCCACCATCCGATGGCGTCTCTTGTCCAGGGCTGCCTTTGGTGGGACACCATGAGGCAGCGACCCCACAACTGTCCTCTGGAATATCACCATTCCAGCTCATGGTCTTTGTTGTCTACCTTCAACATCACTTCCTCAGGAAAGCAGTCCTTGAACTCCCTAAATCCCCCCATTAAAAAAGGCCCTCGGTCAGGCATCCCCATGATCTGCGCCCAAGGGTCCCGCCTTTGTCCTTCTTAGCACTTATCTGTAATAATAAAAGGGTAATATGATAATTAGACTGGATGTCCTTCTTTCTGGACAAAGAGCTGCAGTGGGCGGGGGCCGCAGCAGAGGCGGCAGAGGCCCCCACCCACGGTGGCGGCAGTGGTGGGCGAGGCAGGGGCCCAGGCCCTTGCATGAATTTTGTGCATTGGGCCTCTAGGGAGCGTCTCTTGTCCAGGGCTGCCTTTTGGTGGGACACCATGAGGCAGCGACCCCACAACTGTCCTCTGGAATATCACCATTCCAGCTCATGGTCTTTGTTGTCTACCTTCAACATCACTTCCTCAGGAAAGCAGTCCTTGAACTCCCTAAATCCCCCCATTAAAAAAGGCCCTCGGTCAGGCATCCCCATGATCTGCGCCCAAGGGTCCCGCCTTTGTCCTTCTTAGCACTTATCTGTAATAATAAAAGGGTAATATGATAATTAGACTGGATGTCCTTCTTTCCGGACAAAGAGCTGCAGAAGGCAGGGGCCGCAGCAGAGGCGGCAGAGGCCCCCACCCATGGTGGCGGCAGTGGTGGGCGAGGCCGGGGCCAAGGCCCTTGCACGAATTTTGTGCATCGGGCCTCTAGGGATGATTACAATGAACCACCTGTGTAATCTTTTGTTTGTTATTGGTCCTCTCTGCTGGACCCTATGTTCCAACAGGACAGGCACAGTGTCTTCTGCACTGATGTGCTTCCAATGTCTAGCACATAGGAGGGCTCAGAAATGCTTGCTGAGTGGATAAGCAATGGGTGGATAGATCAGCCCAATGGCCACCATGTCACTTTCTAACCCAACATAAAGCCATCAGGGATGGCTGCGCTCAGCCTTTTGTGGCATCCTAGCTTTACTTTTGTTTGGGGAGACACACTTTGCTTCTCCTTTCTTGTGGAGCTACTCAGGTTCCTAACACCGAGGTTCCTGCGCTGGCTGCCTCTGGGAATAACCACTGGGGTTTGGGAAAAATACATGTCCTTGGGCTCATCTCTCAGAGTCTCTGACTCAGTAGATCTGAGGCTGATGATCAACCAGGTTTGGAAATCCCTGCTCTGGAGGACAAATTCGTGAGGCATGAAAGCTAAGGAGTTTAATTGGGACATTAAGGTTGGATATAAGCAAAGGTATAAAAAATGCCACTAGGATTGTCAATTACAATGATCATTATAATAGATACCATTTTTGTCTTGACAGATTAGCACAGATGAAAAGTTGGTTAGGAGAAACCAAGATGGCGGCATAGGTAAACACCTGAAATTGCTGCCTCGCACAACCACTTCAAAAATACAACTAAAAGACAAAACGGACATCATCCAGAACCACAGGAAGGCTGGCTGAGTGGAAATTCTACAACTAGAAGGAAAGAGAAAAGCACACTGAGACTCAGAGGAGGTGCAGAAGTAAAGTGCAGAGGTACGGAGGCTCGTGAGGAAAGGGCTGACAACTGAGGATGCGGTTGTCTTTTTCAATCGGGAGGGAGACAAAAGCTCCCCACTGCTCTGAACTCCAGTTCCAGGCGAGTCTCTGGGGACCCAGACTCATACAGGAGAAACTGGACTGTCTGGCATCAGGCAGAACTTGAGGGCAGCTTTCTTTCAGAGGTGCTTGCAGCGATTACCGCGGGACACTGAGACCCAGGGCCTCTTAGAGCAGGGCTGAGGATCAGCCATAGCTATTTGCTCCGCCCTGTTGATTCCCTGAGATGCCGCCCCACCCAAGCTGTGCGCAGAGGCTTTTGCATATGAATGGCCTGGCCCTTTGCAATCTGAAAATTACCTAACAAACTGCAGCTGGGTCAGAGAGACCCAGAACATCCAAAAGAAGGCCCAAGGCCCCACAGCAGCTTGCATTGCTTCACAGCTAGGCCTCATCTAGGCACCTCCAAACCCCAAACAAAGAAGAGGAATCTGCAGATCTCTCCATAGCTCCTGAACCAACTAGAAATTAG